GCTCCAATCCCAGGAACTTATCCCAGGAATCACCCGCATTTTTTTATCCCTGCATGAAGTTAACTCCCTTTCCAAGGAGCCACATAGGACTCCTTCCAGATACCTGCCCAATTGCTTGGAAGCAGATCACATACTAGGTAGCTACCTGGTACTGCTTGATAGTAGGTGCCTAAACCGATTTGTGTCTGCTGGGACGCATCTCCCATGCCAGGTAGCAGTCTGGATGTCTGCCCAGCTAGCTTCTCCAGTTGTTTTTTCTGCACTAGGAGTTAGCTCCTAGTTTCTGCACTAGCAGTTAGTATCTAGTCCCAGGTAGCTGCCAGGGACTCTTCCCAGAAGGGTGTCTGACTCCCATAGCAGGTATTTCCCATTTTAGATATCATCTGAAATTTCTGCCCAGGTAGCCGCCCGAGTGGCTTAGCCTGCACTTTCAGGAAGCTGCCATTGAAGGTAGCTCCCATCTACCCACTTGGGTAGTCCCACTTGGGACTCGTCTGAAGTAGCTGCCAAAGTTGGTTTTCCACTCTGGGGAGTTAGCTCCCACACCAGGACTCCTCCCAGCTAGCCGCTCAAGTTAGTTTCCCTCCTCCTCCCCCCACCCCCAGGGAAGAAGTTCCCATCCCAGGTATCAGTGCAGGCCTCCTTTGATGTAGCTGCCTGAGATGGTTTTTGCCTCTGCAGGGAGGTAGCTCCCAGCCGACATGCACCAGAAACTCCTCCGAGGCAGCAGCCTGAACTGGATTGTCTTTGCTAGGAGGAAGTTCACATCCAAGGTAGCAGCCCGGGACTCCTCGCAGGTGGCCACTCAAGTCTGATTGCTTCTGCTAAGTGGTAGCTCCCATCACTGGTATCCACTTGGAACTCCTTCGGTAGCAGCTGCCCAAGCTGGTTTTCCTCCACAGGGAAGCAGCTCCCATCGCAGGTAACTATACCTGGGACTCCTTCAAGGTAGCACCCTGAGTTGTTTTGACTCTGCTGGGAGGTCACTTTCACCCCATGTAGCTGCCCAGCAATCCTCTGGTATACCTTCCTGAATTGGTTTGCGTGTTGGACGGCTACCTATCCAAGGTAGCCGTCCAAATTGATTTGCCATCCCAGGTAGAGGCCTGAGACGCCTCCAGGAGTAGCTTTTGCTGAGTAGCTTTTGCTCTGGTGTGTAAAAGATGCCCTCATGGGCTTACTGCCACTCGGCGGCAGCTCTTTCCTCCAGCATCCACCCAGGACTCCCCCGGGTAGCCACCTGATTTGATTTGCATCCGCTGGAAGTAGCTCCATTCCCAGGTAGCCGTCCAGGACTCCTCCAGGTAGCGGCCTGACTTGGTACGCCTCTGCTCCCAGGAAGCCCCCAACTCAGATAGCTGCCCTGGACTCCTCTTTGGCTGGCACCTGAGTTGGGTTGCCTCCACAAGGAGACAGCTCCCAACACAGATAGCTGCCCTCGACCCCTCCCATGTAGCTGCCAGAATTGGTTTGCCTCTGCTCACAGGAAGCTCCCGACACAGATAGCTGCCTTGGACTCCTCCCTGGCAGGCACCCGAGTTGGTTTACATTTGCAGGGAGGCAGCTCCCTTCCCAGGTAGCCACTCGGGACTACTCCTAAATAGCCGTCCAAATTATTTTGCCTCCGCTGGCCATATTTCCCATTCCAGGTAGCCATCCAGGACTCTTCCCAGGTAGAAACCCAAGTTGGTTTTCCTCTGCTTGAAGTTGGCTCCACTTCCCGTGAGCCACCCAGGATTCTTCTCAGGGGGCTGCCCAGATTGATTTACATCTCTCTGAAGTTAGCTCCTTCCTCTGTAGCCCTCCAGGACTCCTCCCAGGTAGCCATCCAGGTTGGTTTTCCCATGCAGGGATGAAGCTCCTTTGTCAGGTAGCCACCCAGGAATCCTCCCAGGTAGACACTTAAATTGATTTGCTTCTGCAGGGAGGAAGCTTCCGTCCCTGCCTCAAGGACCTCAGCTTGTAAGAGCTTCTCATGCCTCACCAGAAGCCCTGTTTCTGGCCTCACCATTTGCAACCATTATCACCTAGTTCCTCCTGGTCAGCCCTGGGCCCTGTCAGCTATTTGCGATCAGTTGGAGCCCGACATTTCGCCACGCCTTCGGTTTGAGATAGGCGGGCGGGGTTAGTTGCGCTCTGCCACACAGCCCTGCCTGGAACTGAGCCTTGGGGTGGAGCTGCTGCAGGAAACGAAACCCAGAGGGTTCACGAGCAGGCTGAGCTGCGGGGCTGCACGGATGCTGTCACAGCTGCTGTCGTGCCTCATGGAGCTCTACAACACCCCGTCAGAGCAGCTGGACAAGTTCATCTACGAGGTGCTGCAGCCTGACCGCACATTCCTGGAGCAGCTGCGCTGTGCTGTGCACACCATCTGCGAGTTCCTGCGGGACAACTGCTTTGCGGGGGCTCCTCCACCCCGAACACGGGTGCTTAAGGTCGTGAAGGTCAGTGGGGCCCTGGGGCTGCTAGGTCACAGCCTTCCTGACCCGCTGGGCCCCTCACTCTCCCAGCCTGAGGTAGGAAGGGTTACTTGTTGGACAGGTAGGAGCAGCACGTTTTGGCAGGGGTGTTTGCTGGAGGTGCCTCCAACTCTCTAAAAGGGCTCTTCTCAGTGCTTCCACTGCTGGGAAGCACCTGGTGTCTTAACCCAAGAGATGGGTGCCTGGCCCCTCACTCGTACCTGGACAAGAGAATCAGGTGCTCATTTCCCTGTTGGGCTGGGCTGAGAGAGTCTGAGTTCCCACTGACATGCTGTGCAGCTCAGGGCCTGGGGAACAGGCAGCAATCTCAGCCCTGGGAAAGCTCCAGAGAGGGAGGAAGAAAACATCCTTACAGGTGTTTCCCAGTGTCCTTTCAGGTTTCTGGTTTGCTGGAAATCTCTGTTTCATTCCGTGGGAATAGCCTGACATTTCAAGGACATGATGGGCTGCTCTGCAGTTGAGGGGTCCTACGTCACTTGTTTTTATGACCCGAAAGGTGTGCTGGTAGGGCAAAGGGCATCAACAGAGCTTTAGGCAAGGCCTGCCAGACAGGGCTGAAGATGTCACAGCTCAGTTTGCTCAGTGTCTCCAGGCAGGTATTTTCCAGTGCCTTTGGGAGCTGTTTTCTAACTCAGTGTGTGGGAAGATGCTGGAGAGCAGGAAGCTTGGCAGAGGCTGTGGTTGAGAAGTTCAGACATGCTTTTCTGCTGAGGAGGGCACTGACCCTGAACAAGGAGTCCAGACCTGGCTGACCCTGAGGCCAGGAGTCAGAGGGGAGAAGTGGGGTTTGTGGTCCCTCTGTGTGCCCAGGCTTGGCCAGGAGGTCTTGCCTGCATCTCCTCAGCTCTGCCAGAGCCCAGGGAAAAGCTGAGGGCCCTGCTGGTCCTGCTGACCCTCCTGCTGTTGAGGGAAGCCCTGCAGGAAGGCAGACTATGGGCAGGCAGCGGTAACTCTCCTGTTCCCTACAGGGTGGCTCTGCAGGCAAAGGCACAGCCCTCAAAAAGAGCTCTGACGCTGACCTCGTGGTGTTTCTCAGCTGCTTTGAGGACTATAAGGACCAGGAGAAAAACCGGGCAGAGATCATCCGTGAGATCCAGAAGAGGCTGGTGGAGTGCCAGCAGCAGAAGCATTTTGAAGTGGAGTTTGAAGTGAGTCGTTGGTCAAATCCCCGCGTGCTGAGCTTCCAGCTGAGCTCCAAGACGCTCCATGAGTCCATCAGCTTCGATGTGCTGCCGGCCTATGACGCGCTACGTACGGTCTGCTGCCCTGCTTGGCTGCCCACTCTGCTGGGCGTTTCCTGAGCCATGGGACCCTCCTGCTCAGCCTGGCCCTTGCCTACAGCAGGACTTGCTGGGGCTGAAGTGTCCCAGCTCCCTGTCCCTGTCGTGCAGCCTTCACATCGGTATCTTTCTGTTTTGCTTCTCCCTCGCAGACCACCTTGTCTCTGGCTACAAGGTCAACCCCACAGTTTACATCCAGCTCTTCCAGCAGTGCTCGCGGGGAGGTGAATTCTCCACCTGCTTCACGGAGCTGCAACGGGACTTCATCATCAGCCGCCCCACCAAAGTGAAGAGCCTGATTCGCCTGGTGAAGCACTGGTACAAGACGGTAAGTGGGGCCAGGCTTCGCAGGGATTCTGGGGGAGCAGGGCTGGCACCTTGAAAGCAGTGATTCTCAGAGGAAGGTGGAAGGGGCTCCTGCTTGTCAGAGGGAGGTGGAAGGGGCTGGGAATGGAGGGGAAGAACTGCCGAAAATGAGTTGTCGGGACTCCCGGCCCTCCACGAGGCTGAACAGATCTGTGTCCTATCCGTGGGAACACTCACTGCTCTGTCCTGTCCATCCCAGTACATCTGTCCACACAAGTGGGCGCTGAGAGGTGGCGAGACCCTGCCACCGCAGTATGCCCTGGAGCTCCTGACAGTCTACGCCTGGGAGCAGGGGAGTGGGGAAACAAACTTCAGTGTGGCCAAGGCCTTCCGCACAGTGCTGGAGCTGCTCCAGCACTACCAGCAGCTCTGTGTCTACTGGACTGTCAACTACGACTTCAGGGATGCGACTCTGAGTTGCCACCTGTCATCCCAGCTCAGCAAAAGCAGGTCAGTTCACCTGCCTGTCTGCACCCACCCATCTGCTGTCCAGCCCTCCCTGGGCAGTCACCAGCTCGTGTGGACAGTGCCCAGCCCTGGGCTCATCCCTGTCCGCCCATCCTCCAGTGGGGCTCCACAGCCCCCCATGTCCAGCCCAGGGGAGGGTTGGGCGCAGGGTGCAGCGGGGCTTCTGGACGGCACTCCTGCGGAAGGCTATGGGGCCTCCTTGCCCGGTGAGGCCAGACAAGGTCCATGGCTGTGACTATTGCTGTGCCTCTGTGCAAGGAAGGGTCCTGCCAGCACTTCCGGAGCCCAGCTCAGGGAAATGTCCCCAAGTCCCATCTGGGGAGGGACCACTTCCCTCCTTTCTCCCCTTGCTCCCAAGGCCACAGCCACTCATCTAGCAGCTCCGCAGGGCACTCAGGCCTGCCCCAGCTAGGGTCTGCAGGGCTGGTAGAGCATCCAGGAGGAGTGGGCACAGAGGGGTAGGGAGCTGCAGGGGGCAGCCCCTAGGGTGCTGGGAACAGGGCCACACTGTGCCCCTTTGTGTCTCCCTGAACCATAGGCCTGTCATCCTCGACCCGGCTGACCCAACCAATATTGTGGGCAAAGGGAGCCGCTGGGACCTGGTGGCGAAGGAGGCTGAAAAGTGCTGTAGTCAGCGATGCTGCATGTACAGCAATGGAGTGCCTGTGCAACCATGGGACGTGTCGGTAAGGCAGGACTCACCAAAATGCCAAGGGAATAAAACAGGGGTCAGAGCACACCAGGACAGGGGGAATGACTAAGGCCTCTGCCCCTGCCCCTGCTCCTGGGCATCTTTTGGGTGGGCACTGATGGGAGAGACCACCTCCTGATCCTTCCCCTCTGCTGCACTCTCCAGCAGCTCCTCCCTGCCCAGAGACCTTGCTAGCACATGAGTCTGGGTCTGGGGCACAGCCCATGTCTCTGCAGTTCCGTTTATCTCTGGGAGCTATGCACTGCTTCTCTCCACATATAGCTGCTCTCCTCAGTGGCTGCCTCACACCCCCAGGCTATTAATGCTAGAGTGGGTCTGAGGGAGACTGGGGCTGGTTTGGTCCCTCAGCTAAGACAGAGGTCTCTGCTCACTCACAGTGTCTGTTCCTATTACAGCCTGAGCAAACACGCTGAAAAAGCAAGGATGTCCAGAAATGGAACTACCTGAGACTGGCTGAAGACCAGTGCATTCTGCTGTCAGCACCCTAGCCTGTGCCAATCTCTCCTATCAGCACCTTCCCAAGGTCACAGCAGTCAGAAGAGCAGCCGTCTTCCTGCACTATCCTCTGAGGGACCACTCTTGAGCACATCCTTGGGCAGGAGGGCATGGGAAGAGGGGGTGGGATGAAGGCAGGGACCCCCCGGGGTCTGCTCCCGTTCCCTGGGCTCAGGAGCGATGGCCATGGGGCTGGTGTCACCTCTGGTAGAATGTGCCCAGTTCCCACTGGCACCCCGGTTCTACAGGGTATTGTGCCTGCTGGTGATGTTATTCCCTGCGGGGGAAGGGGAGGAGAGCTCTCCATGGTGGTGGGCAGCTGTCCTCCTGCTGCCCTGCCTCCTCCTCCTCCCCTTGCTGCGGGCACCTTCTCCTCCCCATCTGCAGCCTGGCTCCCAGCCCTGTCCCTTAGTTCTTGGCTAATAAAGCCCCATGGTTTCTCTGCGCAGTCTCCAGATCATGAGTCACTGGGTCCAGGGGCCTGTGTAGCTGTATTCGTCCAGACCTGGTATTTCAGGGAGATGTATGATGGTGAAGGAGTAGCAGGTGACTTGTGCCATAGGGTTCACATACAAATGCAGCCTCCCTTTGGCCTTTTCTCCTCCTTGCTCCTTGGCCTTGGCCCAAGACTTGGGCCCAGAACCAGTGGAGACAGAGACCACTGCTCTGCTGTGCCTGGGAAGACTTACATGGGAGAGATGTTGGTCTCCCAGCAAGAGGGGCCTGGCCTCATCCTCCCCACTCCCAGCTCAGGGCCATGGGCCTGCAGAGCCCAGTCTGTAGAGCTGGCAGTGCATCCTTGGGCAGCAGGTGGGAACATCTCCTGCCTTCATCTCTGAGCAGGCAGGCCCTCCCCTGCTCAAGCAACACAGCTCCTCACCTCCAGCTGGCCTTAGCTCTGCCCTGCTCCCCAGGAGCACCACAAGGGCCTGATGTTATGTGTCAACTGAAGCAGAGGGAATACGTGGAGGGATCCCAGGGGCATCGTCCAGCCCATTCTGCAGGGCCAGGAGGCTCACTGACTCACCATTCAGCCCCCCCTTCCTGAGTCCAGCGGCATCTCCTCCTCACTAAATCCTACTGTGCTTTCCGTTCACTCTCTTCTTTCTGCCACCATCGTAGCGTAGGTTTGACAGGCCAACAGGGAGTCACAACCAGCTCTCACCCAGTCCAGGGAGGCCACTTCTCCCACAAGATTTCATCCCTCAGTAGTCAGGGCATAGCAGCCCTTGCGTTGTAAATGCATGTGGGCTGCTTTCCTGGGTTGCTGTCAGGCACACGGCACCATCCTATTTCAGAAAAGGTGCTGAGAGCTGACAGCCACATGGGTGAACTTTGCTTTTCACGCTTCCAGGGTGCAGGGAAAGTGACATCTCACATCCCCTAGTTTCCTACGGCCCTTCCAGGCTTGTGCAGCTCAGCTAGAGCTTTGCCTTTTCTGCTGTGGGGAGGCTGGGATGCGCATGGCCTGCAATATAGCCTTTCCTGGGGCTGCTGTGTGGGCACAGAGGCTGCAAAGGGTGTGTTCCCCAGCTAGGCTGCCCATTTGAAAGCATTGCTGTGGCTGCCTGAGCAGGGACATGGGGCTGGAGCATGGTAAGGGACAGGGCAGGAAGGCTATGGAGAGAGAGGCTGGCAGGAGGCTGGGAGGGGGCTCTCCCTGGCAAGCCAGTGTAGTGGTGGGAGAAAGGCCAGGGGAGGAGGACCCCGGGCATGGGGATCAGAGAGAGAGGAGATGTAGGGGACACTGCTGGACTGGACCCTGCTCCCCACCCTGAAATCCCGGGAGAGGGATGTGTGGGTGCTTTCTGTGCTTCCCTGCATGGAGGCAGGGCCACAAGGTGGGGCTGATCCTGAGGGAGTCTCTGGCCTTGCCCTGGTGCTCTCTGTCCCTAATAGGGATCCATGTCCCTGTTCCCACTTGGCTGGCAGTCAGTGACCACAGGAGTGGTGTGTGGAGCCGCAATGGCTGTAAGTGGCAGTTTACTTAGTGAGGGAGTGCAGTGCTTGAGGCAGTCAGGAATTGCTGTGTGCAAGTCACAGCTGCTTCCAGCCAGCTTAGAAAGTGATGGAAACATCAGCCTACCTGGGCAGCACACCGCACTGCAATCAGACATACTTAAGAAAGCCACAGCTTTGAGGGGCTGAAGACACCCTTTTGGGATGACAATGCATGCCAAAAGGATATACGGATACCCCTGAGAGATTGCAGTCTGTGGGCAACCCACACCACGGCAGAGACACCTCTGAGGGACTGTGGCTGTGGCGGACCCACCCCAGGGCAGACACATCCCTGAAGGAATAGACCAGCAGTAGAAACCAGTAAGAAGCAAAGAGCAGCAGAAAAGAAAGCACTGTTTATATGACCCCAACCTCTTGCGCTGCCTGTTGCCTCACAAGAGGAATTTGGATGGACTGAATATTTTCTGTGGCAAAAAGAAGGGAAGTGGTGACTAGGGAAGGGGGAGGAAAGATGTTTATGAAAGTGTTTTTTTTGATTCTCTGTCCTTTTTTTTTTCCTCAATATTTGCATCAGTTGTCAGAAGGCTGTGTTAATTGACAAGAAATTAAGTAAACTGACCTTCAATGACTCGAGATGGCTTTGCCCACAACAGAATCACAGACATCTCCAGCACTCCTTGGGGGCTGCACCTACTGTCCACCTCTGTCATTTCCTGGGTCTTTCCTACCCTGCTGCCCTCAGCCCAGCCTCTCCAGCAGACCCACTTGTTCCTCTCTCTGCCGTGTCAATGTGATGGCTGTGATGGAGCAGAGTGGCTGCGAGACGCCTCCTTTTGAAGCCCTTTCCTCAAGAGGTGGAGAGCTTTGTTTTTCCTTTGATGGAGGAAGATCCCCTCAGCCTGGAGGACAGAGGAGAGCCATGCTAGAGAAGATAGGCCTGGTGGGACCTTGGAGGCCTCTTTGTCAAGGAGACTGGACCAGAGGGCCAAGCAAAGAGAGATGATGCCACTCTACAGCCTTCTCAGGCCAGGAGAAAGACTGGCGGTCCAAATGCAGGTGTGGTCCTGACCAGACTGGCCTTCATCTCCCATTGGGACGGCACTGCAGGGCACTGACCACCCCAATGTCAGCTCTACCAGAGAGCAGCAAGGGCCGGCAGCTCCCTCAGGGTAGGTGTGAGCTGGGAGCTGTGGGAGGCCCCAGGGCAGGGTATCCCTCACTGACAGCATGCAGTCCCTCAGGGACTGAACGTGGCAAGCAGAGCTGGGTGCTGGGTAACAGGGTCCATCAGCAGTCCCGAACAAGGGGAAGCAATGAACCCTGCCCAGGGCCCATTCAGAAAGACCTGTCAGGAACAAAAGGAGCTGGGGCCAGAGATAGGACCGGAGACTACCTAAAATATGCACCTGAGATCCGTTCAGGAGGCAAGTTGAGAGAAGAAAGGGGTCGGGCAGTGCTGATGTCCCCTGGTGGGCATGAGAACCCCCACAGGGCTGGCTGGGAGGCAAGCCTTGCTCACATGCACAGGGAATAGCCGCCGATTGCCAGGTTTGGGGTCAGGAAGGGCTTTTCCCCCAGGACAGATTGGCACCGGTTCCCAGGAGGTTTTTTTTTGCCTTCCTCTGTTGCATTGAGCATGGCCTGTTCCCAAGGCTCCTCTGGGCCATTTCAGGCCAGTGATTCCCTGCTCTTGCAGGACCAAGACACCAGCTGTGCCCTGCAGCTCTCTGGCTCTCTTCCCTGGGGCAAGTTCGCAGCAGGAGCTCAGGGACTTCAATGTATTACATATCATTGGCGTGTTCTGGCTTGTGCAAAAAAACCTGGAAAGGCTCAAGGCTTGATGCTCCATCAGGAAGGAGCTGCCACTTGTCAGCTGTCCCTGCATGCAATAAAAGTGCAATGCTTGTAGACTGGCCTGGATCTGCTGTTTGTGTCACGCGTGTCCTGGCTGCAGCCTGAGAGCTTTGTCCTGCAGCTGCGCTGTCAGGAACTGCATGTACCCTCCTGCCTACAGGGCCTGCCATCTCCCTTGGAGGGCGGTTCTGTTCCCCCATCCTATCCCAGATGGGTGTCTCTGAGCAGCATGAGCCCAAAGCATGTTCAGTTGCTGTCTTGGCCCCACAGCAGGCTGAAGTACACAAAGTGCCTGCAATGACTATGAGCAACACCGTCTACCCGGACCCCCTCCAGGCAAATCCAGGACCCCCTACCCTGCCTGGGGGACTGTGCTCCCAAGGACCTTTCTCCACAGGCAGGGATGGGACAGGAGGCTGTTCCCAGACCCCCCAACCCCTGTCCAGAGGGTTTCCCAGCTTGCAGCCCTCTGTCTCCAGCAGCACTGTCTGTCCTGGTGTTGGAGGTCAGGTCAAGCCCAGCCAGATGGGATGCCCGTGGGCTAAGCAGAGGCTGCAGGGAGGAGAACACCTCTGTCACCACCACCCTTCTCAAATTCCACCCTCCAGGAGCATCAGGGTTTAGTATGGTCATACTGATGTCCAGTCCAAAGGATTCATCTGTGGCAACGGCAGCAGGAGGAGCTGCTATCTAGAGAGGGCCCTCCAGCCTCCGCCCCGAGCCCGCGCGAGGCGCCCCCCCCCCCCCCCCAAATCTTGGATTGGGCATGCTAGGGTACGGCTCTGCCCCGTTCCATCTGGTATCTGCTTGTGAACCTGTTGGCCATGCATTTCTCTACTCCTGTTTGGACCCTGCTGATGCCTCCACCACCTCCTTATGGGGCAGCTCTCACAAGTTCAGGGCCAGCAGAAAAGGAAGAACTGTCTTTTATCTGCTTTTACCCACTCTCCTGCCAATTTCACTCGGTCACCCCAGTTCCACTGCAGGATTTGGTGAACATGAGCTCTGCACTCAGCTCACCCACTGCTTTCATGGTCCTGTGCCCCAGATCGCCCCTTTCTCCTCCTCTCTAACCTGAGAACCAGGTGTCCTACATCTGCTCCCCATTCCCTGTCTGCAGCCCTGTCCCCTGCCTGCAGCCCCACCCGGCGAGCTGTGCCGTGGGCACGTGGTTCAGGCTTCTCCGCTCGCGTCCGTGCTCACCCCGACCCCGTCCCTCGCCGCGGTCCCCCGCGGCACAGCCGGGGGCGCAGCCGGGCC